TACCGCTAAAATAGTCAAAGAATGGGTAATGTATAATGTTCCACACGTGGTGTCACATCCACCGCAAAGTCCCGATTTAAACCACATTGAACATTTATGGAATGAAGTAGAAAGACGATTAAGAAATACGGTTATTACTTCGAAAGAAGCGTTAAAACGAAATATTATTGAAATATGGCAATCGATAGATGCAAATGTTACTTCTAAGTTGGTCCACTCAATGGAAAACAGACTTAGGGCTGTTATAAAAGCAAAAGGTGGATCTCAACTCCCTATTAAAACCTTTAATCGTTCAATTGAAGTAACTATTAATTGTTTCGTTCGAATACTTTTGTATGTATGTTTTGTTCGAAAAAACTGTAAAAAAACTGTAAAACTGTAAAAACGCTATATATTGTTGAATTATTTTCTAATTTTGCCTACGCAGTCTTGTTATATGTGTCATATTATATCAAATGCTTCAGTTTAATACATATATTTTATCAATTCAATGTTAGAAACGTAAGCGTTCGAATACTTTCGTGTACGAGTGTAAACGGTATTTTGGTATTTTGCCCGTTCAATTTATAAATAATAATAGTAATTAACTTTGAAATAAATTTTAGAATCGATAACAGTTTCCGTTCGGTTTCTCAAATTCGCTTAATTTTTTGTACATACAAGGGTGTCTCGTTTTACTTACCAGTCGAAGAAATTCCAGAGGCACGTGAACATGTTGACGGCGGGTGTCGCACATTGATCGAAGCTCACGGGGCACACGCAGATTCACTCGCGACAAAACACCTGTCACGTTCATTCAAGCGTTACTCGTGGTTAGAGGCGCGCGAGGCACGCATCCAACTATTTCGTCTCGATTTCTCGCGAGATGCTTCCGCATCGTGCGAGCGGCGAGCTGACTTCTCGGAGAAGAGGAACAGACGCATCTTCGCGAGTCGAGCCTTAGCAAATTCCCAGTTTTCAATTCGGCGAAATTCGGCGATACGGAATTCTACGTCCTCCTTTTTTCCTTCACAAAGAAAACGCAACGATGTAGCGGTCAATTTGTACCTCGACGTTAACTCTCGAGCTTAACCCTTTCGCTACGGCGGTTCAGTCCACCGTAGCGCCACTCCTGAACGGAACCACCCGCCGAAATTGTGCACATTGCGCGTGGATAGTGTATTTGGGAAGAAAAGGGATTTTTCTTTAAAACAATATAGTTATAATTTCTGCATAAGGTATAAAGTTATTTAATAGGTAAAAAAAGTTTCATTAACAATGGAAAAAGTGAAGAAATAATATATAATATACAGTAATAAAATAAAACATAATATTCATAATACAAAACATAATACATAATAATTAGTCCTAAAGTTAGTACTTTCGATTTTCTATCCCTTTATGACATGTAACACAATAATAATGGGAAATGCAGGTAGAACAAATATAACTTGAATGGTGTGTCGTTTATTTCGGACTGTCGTTTGTTTGTTTCGTCAAAAGATTCACGCAATAGTAACAAGAGGCGATTTTACCAGCATGTCGGATATATCCGGCGTTCGGCTCCGCGAGTGTTCATATGGATGACGGATATATCCGTCGTTCGGAGCGAAAGGGTTAAGCGAAACTTACACGCTGCATTCGTGCTCGCATACCAGCTTGCGTTGCTAACTTTACGCTCTGAATTGTAAACGAACACGGCCAATTTTTATGGTACTTTGCTAAAGTGTATTTTTCATACGAATATTTCATACGCTTGTTTTCCAGCTGCTTTCTGGTGAAGAAGTGAAAACGACCTTCGAAGTTTGCAACTGTGAACGTACGTGAACTGTGGAGAATAAGCGAAACTTATTTTCTACTTAAATATAGCTTTCTATCTAAATATAGCTTTCTATTTAAATACAGCTTTCTATTTGTGTATATATAACTTTATCCGATAAACGATAATGTCTTTATGTTACTGAAAAAGGTTATATAACGTGGTTACGATCTTCTCGCAATGAACGACATGCAACTCTTCCGCGTAAAGCGGTTTCAACAAATAAAACACGTCGTCCGGTAACGTAGAAAAGAATCTTCTCACGTTACGATCTATGACGGGACTGTACAGAAGTCGTTGTATGTCAACACGAACACCTCTAAAACAATTACAGGGAAGAGAACGATGCCCCAATTAACGCTAAATATAAACCCATTTATAGAATCATTTGCGTACAGCAACTTCTCGCAAAAGTTAGAAACGAATCTCCTGCTTCTTCTTTCCTAAATCTGAGTTTTCGGACGATCTCAAAAATCTCACGACGCTTTTCATCGAGATAGTCGGAAGTCCGTCGACGAAATCTCGTCATAACGTAGCCGGTGTTCTGGAAATGGAGAGCAAACCGAAGACGCTTTGTCAGCCGATAGTCCGCGAAGCCGTCCATTCCGATTCTTTCCGCGGTGCCGTCTGGCTACGATACAATATCCGTCCAGAGCGAAAATTAGAACGGGTCTTTGTCGGCAAAGAGTCGCAGTTGCCCCCGAAAACCCTCTCTACAATGGCAGAGTCGCGACAAAGGGGAAACTGCTCGGTCAGGATGTTTCTTTCTTCGCGAAAATGGATATTCCGCTCCGTTTTCGCGGCCCGGTATTATCGCCGCCGACTCTTTGAAACCGGAATATTTCATTAGGAAGCCTGAAAATGTTCTGGAAAAGCGCCGGGGTCGAAAGTAATCGGAGCCGAAAATCAATTTCTCGATCAACTCTAAATCATTCCGTAGCTCGTCCAACCTTGGGGAGAATATCAGCGAACGGTAACTTTTCTAACAGCATTTATGTTTCATTCGTACGGCGATAGGGCAAGGGTTACAGTTACCCAGGCACATTAACACTTTAACCCGAGAAAGATAACCTACGTCGCAGAGGCGCCTGCGAAATAAATGCACCGTGGATGACGCAAAGACTGGAAGCACCCACTTTGCCAAGGCATGTGCGAAGCAACATTGAAAATATTCTTCCACAATCTGCTGTACAGGCTTCCACAGATGATGAAGAAGAACCCTCAGCCAAAAAAAGGCGTTATTGCAGTCTTTGCACGTCTAAAAAGAAAAGAATGTCAAAGATGACCTGTGCCAAATGCAAAAAGACAGTTTGTGGTGAACACAAGAAAGACGTTTGTCATGACTGTCTCTAAAGAAATTTTTTATAATATTATAGTTTTTTTACACTGATTATATTATAGTCTACTAGTTTGTAAGGATAAAACACTATTTTTTGTGATATTTTACGGGATTTGTTCCCATAAACCGAAGACTGTTGATTTTTGTTAATTTTTCATAGAGGTCTAGTGATTTAAGT